CCACTGGGCGGAAAGTCGAAGGTCCCCCTCCTTCAGGTGCGACATCTGAACTAGCCCTTGGGATATGATCATTCACAAGATTTGGCTCGTTGACAGGAAGCTCCGTATTACGTAGCTCTCTACACAAACATCTAATCTTCTCACGTGTATCTGATATTAATTTATCAATCTCGGTTTGAGACAAGCCATCAAGGTTAACACCCATTTCGAGGGATATGAGGTGATTTACCTCCGCGAGTGACTCGTCAGATACCTTCAGCAAACATCTAATCTTCTCACGTTTATCTGATATTAATTTATCAATCTCGGTTTGAGACAAGCCATCAAGGTTAACACCATTTTCGAGGGATATGAGGTGATATACCTCCGCGAGTAACTCGTCAGATACCTTCAGCATACGGTCTATGTTCTTCTTCATCTTTGTGATCTCGGTCGTGTGGTATGTCTCTCGATTCTCATTTTCTCTTGACATGGCCGTCGCTTTTTAGTTTCTTTCTTTTCTTATTTTTTGATGTTGAAATATAATAGACATGCACTTGCTTCTAATCTTATTTATAGAGAGAAAGAGTTTTGAGATGACGCGAATTAACTCTCAAGTTTCTTTTGAGTTGTAGTGATTGAACTACAGTTAAGTGAGTGTTAACTACTAGCAAATGTACCTATCTACCGTCATGTCCACATCTACGAGAATGATAGTTGGTAACAACTAACAAAGATTGGCCACCAAACAGTTAACACACATTATAAAAGCTCACTGACCACACCGTGATTAATTTGGTGTTAATATTCACCTTATAATTAATGTAGTCAAAAAATATATATATACATCACTTGTGAATCAAGCTCGTAAACACACATACATGTTTGTTCATTACTAAGCCTTAACCTTTCACAAATTAAACAAAGCAGACTAATCACACATATGAAAAACTAGTCAAGCTCATAGAACTTGTATCACAACAGCTTACATAAATCACAACGTCTATGCATTAACTTGTGATCTTGAGACAGTTTCACTACCAAAATCTGACTTGAGAGCAAAGCATCTGAACTGCAAGCCTTTCACTTTTAAAGTATAAATCAATCCCACGGATATGAACAAAATGACAATACAGACGAGAAAACTTAGCAATTTTAGATAATAATCTAACAACATAAATGGTTACTTTCTTTAACTGTTTGCTAAAATCTTGTCAATTAGTTCACCAGCATCTAATCAAAATGAATCATTTACTTGTAGTATCTAGTAGACTTACATATAAGCTAGGTATCAAACACAGCAAATCACCATCAACTATTCGATAGTGATCTCATATGGTACCAACCATCAGCATCTAATCAAAATGAATAATTTACTTGTAGTTATCTAGTAGACTTACATACAAGGTATGAAACACGGCAAATCACCAACAACTATTCGAACTCATATGGTATTTCCTCTTTCATTCTCTCCATCATCTAGCTAACCGGACACACTTGATTGGTTTAACAACCAGATTAAGCCACTAACCAACAGCCAAGGACCAACCAAGCTAATTCCAGAGCCAAACCATATTTTTTTAAGTTGTGGTTGGTCCAATCAGTCCAAATGGCCAAACCTACACATCATTTGATACCATAATATACAGAAAGTGTTGATTGCCAAGTAAATAGAAAATGCAATTAAACACTCTTTTGATCTAAATACATACCCTCCAATGCAATCTGCCTTGAATAAAAGAATCGCCAGTCTCTCGAGTTCTGACTACTATCACCTTGCACCCATACATGGAACCTAAAAGTCAACATATCAAATAGCCTTAAACACAGGACTGGTCGTGCGACCGCCCGGGTCCAAACCCGTGTGTTCCGTATATTAATAATTAAGGGGTCTGATTTTTTTTATAAATACATATGTTTAAATAGAAAATATAATTTTAATAAATCAAATTAAAAAGGTCCCAATAATATTTTATAAGTACATAATTTTATTTTCATCACAAAATTTACAAAAAATTACTGATTAAATTTAAACATTTTTTAAAACATTAAATAAACATACATTTTAAAAGGTAAAAATAATTGTTGCCCAAGGACCCCAAATGAAGTTAAGTCGGCTCTGCGTAAACAACCATCTTTATTTGCCAATGTCAAGACATAAACTAAAAAGCAAAACAGTTATCTACACTAACAAATAGCAATTAACATTTCTTAGTATAGTAGTACACTATCAATGCTAAAGTTTTATAGCTTCCAGAGTTAAAGAAGAAAAAAGTTGATAATATAGCACGATGGTTCTTCTTGATTCATCGTTATTATCAAGGACAAGGCTTAATCACACAATCTCATCTCCCTCAAGTGCCATCACTCTCTTGATCAGATGCTTATTAGGCTTACACAATCTCCCTAAGGTAACGAAGGATGAGAGTCACTCACATAAGCAAGGAAGGCGAGATCGTTTGTGAATTGATAAGAGAAGGATGCAAGAATCACCCCCCAAGACGAAGAGAGATTTGGGGATAGAACGTAAGAAAGATAGTTTAATAGCAATACAGTTGCATGCATAAACCGTAAGAAAATTTAGTTTTTATCTTTCGTGTCTGTTTATTAGTATATATTGCCGCCATGTTTTGTGCTGCGTTTTGTTGTCTTAATTATCTTTGTTCATCTTGTCTTAATTAATCTATTTATTAACTTATTCTCAAACAGTTTGCATAGTGTTAAAAACACGTGATGAGCTCTTCAAAATTGCAAAGGGAAATCAATGCATTATTTTAGGTTAATAACATATGCACAAACAAAGACGCAAAGTTTAAGACACAAACATAAAACATGACCCGAATCAACACAAACTAGAAAATATGAAATGAGCATGCATGCAAAGACACAACAACAACAACAACAACAACAACAAACTTTATTTCAAGAAGACACACATTAACTTTATTTATTCAACGGCTAGCTGCTCCATTAGGCACCAGCCTTGCTGCTCACTCCTCTTTCATAGGTCGTCATTTCATCATCATCATCATCATCATCATCATCATCATCATCATCAGATGATGATGATTCCATGTTTCCCCTTCCCAAAGTCCCCGGCCCCCTCCTTCAGGTGGAACATCGTCTGAAGCCCTTGGGATATTATCATCCCCAAGATTTGGCTCGTTGACAGGATGCTCTATCTGTCTACTCAAACATATAATCTTCTCACGTGCATCTGATTTTAATTTATCAATCTCGGTTTGAGACAAGCCATCAAGGCCACAACCATTTCGGAGGGATGTGTGATGATCTATCACCGCTCGTAACTCCGCAGCTACCCTCACCACACGCTCTAGTTCCTTTATCATCTTTGTGAGCGCGGTCGTGATGAATGTCTCTTGATCCTCATTTTCTCTTGACATGGCCGTCTCTTTTTAGCTTCTTTTTTTTGTTATTTGTTTTGTGGTATTGAAATATAATAGACATGCACTTGCTGCTAATCTTATTTATAGAGAGAAAGAGTTGAGATGACACGAAACTCTGAAGTTTCTGATCAGTTGTAGTGTTTGCACAACTGTTAGCAAATGTACCTACCTTCCTTTAAAGTCCAACTCTCTGAGAATGATAGTTAGTAACAAAGATTGGTCACCAAACAGTTAAAACACATTATAAAAATTCACCTAACTTTATTAACCTCATTTTCCGTAGTTTAATTCAGTGAGTCAAATATATATATATACATCACTTGTGAATCAAGCTCGTAAATACACACATACATGTTTGTTCATTACTAAGCCTTAACCTCTTAGAAACAACGCAGACTAATCACACAAATGGAATTTAGTCAAGCTCATAGAACTTGTATGACGACAGCTTACATAACTCACAACGTCTATACTGCATTAGCTTTATGATCTTGAGACAGTTTTCCTTAGGCCTGCGAATTTTGTCTGAACCGAAAGGAGCCGAACCGAAATTGATTTTGGTTTCGGTTTGGTTCAGAGTTCTAAAAATTGATTTGATTTTTGGTTGGGTTCGGTTTAATTTTTGAGTTTTTTCCTGGAAATAACCAAAAAATCAAATCAAATTTAACCAAAAATAACTGAAGTTAATAGAAACTGATTTTAAACAAAAATATCCGACTTTTTAATAAAAAAGTATATCCGAAGGAACCGAACAACCAAAATAATTGGTTATTTTGAAAATAAAACCAAAAATAACCGATAATCGAAATGAAATTTAACTCAGTTAATTCGAAAATAATTTTCAAAATTTCGGTTAACCGAAGACCGATAGTTTGATTCGGTTCGGTTTTGAAAAAAACTGAATTCGCAGGACTAGTTAATTTCACTACCAAAATCTGATTGAGAGCAAAGCATCTGAATTGAAAGCCTTTCACTTTAAAGTATAAATCAATCCCACGAAGATGAACGCAATTATGACAACGCAGACGAGAAAACTTAGCAAATTATGTACACAAGAAAAATATTTAGCAATTTTAGATCTATAATCTAACATATAATAAACATAAATGGTTACTTTCTTTAATTGTATGCTTAAATCTTGTCAATTAGCTCATCAGCATCTAATGAAAATGAATCATTTACTTGTAGTATCTAGTAGACTCACATACAAGGTATCAAACACATCAGCATCTAATGAAAATGAATCATTTACTTGTAGTTATCTAGTAGACTTACATACAAGGTATCAAACACGTTTAGTCTTTTATCTTTCGTGTCTGTTTATTAGTATCTATCACCGCCATGTTTTCCGTTGCTTTTTGTTGTCTTAATTATCTTTGTTCATCTTGTCTTAATTAATCTAAATATTAACTTATTCTCAAACAGTTTGCATACTGTTAAATTAAAAACACGAGATGAGCTTTTTAAATTGCAAAGGGGGAAACATTGCATTATTTAGGTTAATAACATATGCAAACGGAGACGAAAAGTTTAAGACACAAACACGACCTTGACCAGAACAAAAAAAAAAAAAAACTAGTAATATGAAATTTAGCATGCATGCAAAGACACACATTAATTATTATTTATAATCCACCCACTTAAAGACAAGGTATCATCATCATCGTCCACATCACCAGACTTGCTGCTCTCTCCTTGATGATGGTTCTTCTTCATCTCATCATCCACGTCATCAGATGGTTTCATGTTTCTCCCTCCTTCAGGTGCAACATCTGAAGCCCTTGGGACAAGGTTTGGCTTGTTGACAGGATGGTCCCGAGGACGTAACTGTCTACTCAGCCCTTTAATCTTCTTACGTGTATCTGATGTTAATTTATCAATCTCGGTTTGAGACAAGCCATCAAGGCCACAACCATTTCGAAGGGATATGAGGTGATTTACCTCCGCTAGTAACTCGTCAGATACCTTCTGCATACGGTCTATGTCCTTCTTAATCTTTGTGATCTCGGTCGTGTGGTATGTCTCTCGATTCTCATTTTCTCTAGACATGGCCTCCGCTTTTTAGTTTCTTTCTTTTCTTATTTTGTGATGTTGAAATATAATAGACATGCAGTACTTGCTTCTAATCTTATTTATAGAGAGAAAGAGTTTTGAGATGACACGAAACTCTCAAGTTTCTTTTGAGTTGTAATGATTGAACTACTGTTAAGTGAGTGTTAACTACTAGCAAATGTACCTATCTACCGTCATGTCCACATCTACGAGAATGATAGTTGGTAACAACTAACAAAGATTGCCCACCAAACAGTTAACACACATTATAAAAGCTCACTGACCACACCGTGATTAATTTGGTGTTAATATTCACCTTATAATTAATTTAGTCAAAATATATATATATATACATCACTTGTGAATCAAGCTCGTAAACACACATACATGTTTGTTCATTACTAAGCCTTAACCTCTTACAAACAACGCAAACTAATCACACAAATGAAATTTAGTCAAGCTCATAGAACTTGTATCACAACAGCTTACATAATTCACAATGTCTATGCATTAACTTTATGATCTTGAGACAATTTCACTTAGGCCTGCAGATTTTGTCTGAACCGAACCCGCCAAACCGAAATTTTCGGGTGTTAGTTCGGTTTCGATTTTGACTTCGGTTTGGTTCGGTAAAGTTCTAAAAATTGATTCGGTTTGGCTCAGTTCGGTTTTTGAGTTTATTTTTCCTTGAAAATATCCGAATATCCAAAAATAACCAAAAAATCAAACCAAATTTAACCCAAAAAATAAAAAGTACCAGAGTTAACAGAAACCAATTTTAAATAAAAATAGCCAATTTTTTTAAAAATATACCAAAAGCAACTGAAAAACCAAAATAATTGGTTATATTGAAAATAAAAACGAAAACAACCGATAACCGAACCGAACCAAACGAAATTTAATTTGCTTAATTTCAGAAATGGTTTTCAAATTTTCGTTTTACCGAAAACCAATGGTTCGATTTTGTTCGGTTTTAGAAAACCGAACTTGTAGGACTAGTTAATGTCACAACCAAAGAACTAGTCTTCTTCTTAAACGCGTTTAGTATTTTTTTTTTCTTTCTTTTGTGTAAAGGGAGAACATTTAAAAATACGAGATGAGAGCATTTCAAATTGCAAAGGGAGAACATTGCATTATTTACTGAGTCAAAAAAAAACATTGCATAATTTTAGGGTAATAACATATGCAAACAAAGACGCAAAGTTTAAGACACAAACAAGAAACATGACCGAAGCAACACAAACTAGAAATTTGAAATTGAGCATGCATGCATGTAAAGACACAACAACGACCACAAACTTTATTTCAAAGACACAACAACAACAACTTCATTTCAAGACACAATAATTAATTTGATTTATTCGACGGCTAGCTGATTCATTAATAACATATGCAACCATAGACACAAAGTTTAAGACACTAACATAAAACATGACCCGAAGCATCAAAAACTAGAAATATGAAATTGAGCATGCATGCATGCAAAGACACAGCAACAAACTTTATTTCAAAGACACACATTAATTTTATTATTCGACCGCTAGCTGCTTCATTAGGCATCATCATCATCGTCCACAGCACCAGACTTGCTGCTCTCTCCTCCTTCACAGGTCTTCTTCTTCTCATCATCATCGCCATCAGATGGTTTCATGTTTCCCCTTCCCTCAGGTGCAACATCTGAAGCCTTTGGGATATCATGATCATCCCCAAGAATTGGCTCGTTGGTGACACTTGTATACGGATCATGTCGCCTATCGAGCTCTCTCCTCAAATCTATAATCCTCTCACTTAAATATGATTTTAAATCAGCATTCTCGGACGTTTGAGAAGGGTCATCAAGGGCATGACGATGACTTTCGAGTTCGAGCATCATATCCTCTATCTCGAACTCATCGACTACCTTCCCTTTATGTTCTAGTTCCTCCTTCATATTTTTGATCTTGGTCTTGAGGCATGAGTCTAGATCATCAAGTTTTCTTTTCATGGCCGTCGCTTTTTGTTCTTTCTATTATTTTTTGATGTTGAAATATAATAGAAATGCACTTGCTTCTAATCTTATTTATAGAGAGAAAGAGTTTTGAGATGACACGAAACTCTGAAGTTTCTTTTGAGTTGTAATGATTGAACTACAGTTAAGTGCGTGTTAACTACTAGCAAATGTCCACATCTCCGAGAATGATAGTTGGTAACAACTAACAAAGATTGGCCACCAAACAGTTAACACACATTATAAAAGCTCACTGACCACAACGTGATTAATTTGGTGTTAATATTCACCTTATAATTACTTTAGTCAAAAATATATATATACATCACTTGTGAATCAAGCTCGTAAACACACATACATGTTTGTTCATTACTAAGCCTTAACCTCTTACAAACAACGCAAACTAATCACACAAATGAAATTTAGTCAAGCTCATAGAACTTGTATCACAACAGCTTACATAATTCACAATGTCTATGCATTAACTTTATGATCTTGAGACAGTTTCACTTAGGCCTGCAGATTTTGTCTGAACCGAACCCGCCAAACCGAATTTGGGTGTCAATTCGGTTTCGATTTTGACTTCGGTTTGGTTCGGTAAAGTTCTAATAATTGATTCGGTTTGGTTCAGTTCGGTTTTTGAGTTTATTTTTTCTTGAAAGTATCCGAATAGCCAAAAATAACAAAAAAAATAAACTAAATTTATCCCAAAAAATAAAAAGTATCAGAGTTAACAGAAACCGATTTTAAATAGAAAAATATCATTTTTTTAAAATATACTGAAAGCAACTGAAAAACCAAAATAATTGGTTATATTGAAAATAAAAACGAAAAATAACCGATAACCGAACCAAACCAAACGAAATTTAATTTGGTTAATTTCGGAAATGGTTTTCAAATTTTTGTTTTACCGAAAACCAACGGTTCGATTCTGTTCGGTTTCAAAACCGAACTTGCAGGACTAGTTAATTTCACTAACAAAATCTGACTGAGAGCAAAGCATCTGAATTGAGAGCCTTTCACTTTAAAGTATAAATCAATCCTAAATCTGACTGAAAGCAAAGCATCTGAATTGAGAGCCTTTCACTTTAAAGTATAAATCAATCCTATGAAAATGAACGCAATTATGACAATGCAGACGAGAAAACTTAGCAATTTGTGTACACAAGAGAAAGACTTAGAAATTTTAGATCTATTATCTAACATGTAATAAACATAAATGGTTACTTTCTTTAATTGTGGGCTAAAATCTGGTCAATGAGTTCATCAGCATCTAATCAAAATGAATCATTTACTTGTAGTTATCTAGTAAACTATTCGATAGTGATCTCTCATATGGTATTTCCTATTTCAATGGTCTCTCCAATTATCTAGCTAACCGGACACACTTGGCTGGCTTAACAAACAGATTAAGCCACTAACCAACCGCCAAGGACCAACCAAGCTAACTCCAGAGCCAAACCATTTTTTTTAAAGTTGTGGTTGGTCCAGACTGTCAAAATGGCCAAACCTACACATCATTTGATACCATAATTTAGAGAAAATATTGATTGGCAAATAAAAAAAATGCAATTAAACACACTCTTTTGATGATATAAATACATACCCTCCAATGCAATCTGCCTTGAACAAGACCATAAGGTACATAAAAGACCAAAGAATCTCGAGTCTCTCGAGTTCTGACTACAATCACCTTGCACCCATACATCATGCCCTTTAGGAACCTAGAAGTCAACAGATCAAATAGCCCTAGACAACCATCTTTATTTGCCAATTGTCAAGACAGAAACTAAAAAGCAAAACAGTTATCTACACAACAAATAGTAGCAATTGACCTTTCTTCGTAGAACACTATCAATGCTAAAGTTTCATAGCTTCCAGAGTTAAAGAAGAAGAAGGGTAATAATATAGCATGATGGTTCTTCTTGATTCATTGTTATTATCTTTGTTCATCCCTCAAGTGCCATCACTCTCATGATCAAATGCTTATTAGGCTTACACAATCTCCCTAAGGTAACGAAGGATGAGAGTCACTCACATAAGCAAGGAAGGCGAGATCGTTTGTGAATTGATAAGAGAAGGATGCAAGAATCACCCCCCAAGACGAAGAGAGATTTGGGGATAGAACGAAAGAAAGATAGTTTAATAGCAATACAGTTGCATGCATAAACCGTATAAGGGACTAGGAGAATGTCAATTTATCTAATGGGAGAGAGTCTTCTTAAACGCGTTTAGTCTTTTATCTTTCTCATGTCTGTTTATTTTAGTATCTATGGCCGCCATGTTTTGCGCTGCGTTTTGTTGTCTTAATTATCTTTGTTTATCTGGTCTTAATTAATCTAAATATTAACTTATTCTCAAACAGTTTGCATACTGTTAAAAACACGAGATGAGCTCTTTAAATTAAAAAGGGGAAAATATTGCATTATTTAGGTTAATAACATATGCAACCAAAGACGCAAAGTTTAAGACACGAACATAAACACATGACCCGAAGCAACACAAACTAGAAATATGAAATTGAGCATGCATGCAAATACACAACAACAACAAACTTTTATTTCAAAGACACATTAATTTTATTTATTCGACGGCTAGCTAGCTGCTTCATTAGGCATCATTGTCCACACCACCAGACTTGCTGCTCTCTCCTTGATAGGGCTTCTTCATCTCATCATCCACGTTATCAGATGGTTTCATGTTTCCTCTTCCCTCAGGTGCAACGTCATCTGAAGCCTTTGTGATATCATGATCATCCCCAAGAATTGGCTCGTTGGTGACACTTGCATCAAGATATTGCTGTAGCGTACCTATATCTTTATATGATATTAAATCATACACCTCGGTTTGAGAAAGGTCAGCAATGCTACGTTCACCATTTTCGAGTTGCAACATGAGAATATCCATCTGCAAATCCTTAAATTCCTTCCACATACGCTCTAGTTCCTTTTGAATATTTTCGATTCTGGTCTTGTGTGACCTGAGATCCTCATTTTCTCTTGACATGGCCGTCGCTACTTTTAGTTTCTTTCTTTATTATTTTGTGATGTTGAAATATTATAATAAACATGCAGTACTTTGCTTCTAATCTTATTTATAGAGAGAATGAGTTTTGAGATGACACGAAACTCTGAAGTTTCTTTTGAGTTGTAGTGTTTGAACTACAATTAACTACTAGCAAATGTACCGTTCTACCTTCATGTCCACATCTCCCAGAATGATAGTTGGTAACAACTAACAAAGATTGGCCACCAAACAGTTAACACACCACATTATAAAAGCTCACTGACCACACTGATCAATTTGGTGTTAATATTCACCTTATAATTAATTTAGTCAAAATATATAAACATATATACATCACTTGTGAATCAAGCTCGTAAACACACATACATGTTTGTTCATTACTAAGCCTTAACCTTTTACAAACAACGCAGACTAATTAATCACACAATGAAATTTAGTCAAGCTCTTTTTGTTTTTGATTTTTGAAACTCATTTAGTCAAGCTCATAGAACTAACTAGTATCACAACAGCTAACACATACTTCACAAAGTCAATGCATTAACTTGTGATCTTGAGACAGTTTCACTACCAAAATCTGACTTGAGAGCAAAGCATCTGAACTGAAAGCCTTTCACTTTTAAAGTATAAATCATTTAATACAGACGAGAAAACTTAGCAATTTTGTACACAAGAGAAAACTTAGCAATTTTAGATAATAATCTAACAATATAAATTTCTTTTGTTTCAAAAAAAAATGGTTACTTTCTTTAATTGTATGCTAAAATCTTGTCAATTAGTTCATCAGCATCTAATCAAAATGAATCATTTTAGACTTGCATACAAGGTATCAAACACAGCAAATCACCATCAACTATTCGATAGTGATCTCTCATATGGTATTTCCTCTTTCAATCTCTCCATTAATTATCTAGCTAACCGGACACACTTGGTTGGCTTAACAACCAGATTAAGCCACTAACCAACCAAGCTAACTCCAGAGCCAAACCAAATAACTCAAGTTGTGGTGGATCCAATCGGTCCAAAATCTTGAAATGGCCAAACATACACATCATTTGATACCATAAATTAAAGACCAGATTGATTTCCAAATAAAAACACAATTAAAAACACTCTTTTGATCTAAGATACAGACCAAAGATTCTCGAGTCCCTCTAGTTCTGAGTATAGTCACCTTCCACCCACTCATGCCCTTTATGAACCTAAACAAAAGTCAACAAATCAAATTGCCAATGTCAAGACAGAAACTAAAACCAAAACAGTATCTCCACAAACAGCATTTAACATTTCTTAGTAGTACTAACAATGCTGAAATTGTCATAGCTTACAATAGTCAAGAAACTCGTTAAGTTTATGATCAGTGTAGTTAACTGTCACTCTCAAGTAAAAGGTTCACAACTAAGACAAACCCCAAATTTTCCGACAATGTAACTAATCTTGTTCAAAAGAATAAGGTTAAATAATATACATATACCACAAAAGCAGGGAAGACGAGATAGTTTGTGGTAACATGGAGAAAAGGAGTAGACTTTAGCGACAAAACACACCGCTTTTCATTGCTAGTTGATGAGCTATCTTCCAACAACGAAGACGCCATTGCTGAAGCCAATCAAGAATCAAAGTTGACACCTTTCAGATTCAACAATCAAACCCTTAACCTCAAGCAAAGCCAAATGCTCTGTGCTTCTATGTTGCGGCGGCGAGGCTAAGTATCAGTTCGGGGTTTTGCGTTGAGTCTTAGAGAGGAATCTGATTCTCATGTCGACTGACACAGTGACACGTGTCTACAGAGTGTTGTTATAAAAAGCTCGAGCTTTTATACTTTCGGCGATAACAATAAAAAGGTGGATTTTTTGTTTCTGTAAAAGGAAGAAACTTTGATAAAGAAAACGACATCGCTTTGCTCGTCGTTTCGCAGTCTCGTCAGGTACAGATGTTTTGTGTGAAAACGTGAGCCAGCCCACGTTGTAAGAGAGAGAGAATAACTGCATCAAGTCTTTCCTCTCTCTCTCTCTCACTCATTTTGATATATAATACTCTAAAAAATCTGCTTCGAAAGTGTTTGTTAACTACTTTAGTATTCACTATATAAAATTTGAACAAAAAAATTGCAGAGATTTTTTTTTTCTAGTGTTGTTCTGTATCTTCTTCTTCTTCACTAGTAAGTTCTTCTTTTTTCTTCCATTCTAGTGTGGGATCTTGCGTTTTCTTTGCACCATTTGTATACGTTCATTTATTCAGCTGTTACTCACTTTTGGTTAGATTGAATCTTGTATGAGTAAGAAAATGAGAAAAAGATATACCTTTACTCGTGGGTTTGTTCATCTTTGTTGAAACTGGAATAGTGAATCTCGAAAAGTTGTTTCTTTATGTAAAAAATGGTTCCTTTTTTTCTTTCTCTTTTTAGTGATGAAAAAGTTTGCTTTTACTGTTTCTTGTTTGGCTGCTGATGAGAGGCTAAGGAAAATGAGAACTCTTTGAACTCTTTTATTATCTTAGAGTTTTGTCTTTGTTGGCTCTTTTTTCTCCCAGGATTGCGAAGATGAGCAAAGTTCTGGTAGGGATTATTCTATGGATGTGGTGTTGTGTGTGGGTTTGTAATGGGCAGGGAGAGTATGTGCTGTATAAGGACCCTAAGCAGACGGTGTCAGATCGAGTTGTTGATTTGTTGGGTCGAATGACTCTGGAAGAGAAGATTGGTCAGATGGTTCAGATTGATAAAAGTGTTGCCACTGTTAACGTAATGCGAGATTACTTCATAGGTATGCAGAAAACCATATTTCTTGGATTCTTTTTTTTAGAATACTGATAACTTGGTTTGTTAATTTAGTTGGTTCATACATATCTTATGTTCTTCTCTTCAACACTTTAGCTTGCTTGCATAGTGAGTCATGCTTAAACTACTTTTTTTTTGGTTCTCTACTTCCTCTTATTTTGGGCAACTTAGATGGTTTCTTGGAAAAATGGGTCGGTCAAACTGTTATTGTGTAGAGTTTGTAGGTTAGTTGAGGGTGTGCATTCATTTTTACTTGGTATTGAGTGTCTGTGCAGTGTGAAAATTGAAAACAGAAGACATCTTTTTTTGTTCGGTACAGGCAGTGTATTGAGTGGTGGTGGGAGTTCTCCACTCCCTGAGGCAACTGCTCAGAATTGGGTTGATATGATAAATGAGTATCAGAAGGGAGCTCTTTCTAGTCGTTTGGGCATTCCTATGATATATGGCATTGATGCGGTTCACGGCCATAACAATGTCTACAACGCTACCATCTTCCCTCACAATATTGGTCTTGGAGCCACCAGGCAAGTATTAGCTACCAAGTTTGTTTGATTCTGCATGTTTCTCGTTTCCGTTTCTGGTAAAAGCTGTCTATATTTCTTCTGCTGAGCAGTTCAGAGTACTCTGCTGATAGATTTTAAGTTTTCACAGGGATCCTGACCTGGTTAAGAGGATTGGAGCGGCAACTGCAGTTGAAGTCAGAGCCACTGGGATTCCATACACTTTTGCTCCTTGCATTGCAGTAATATTTCTATGTTCATTGGTACTTTGGGACATTTTAGATAGCTGTTTCTTACTCGCTTGTTGTAGGTGTGTAGAGATCCAAGATGGGGTAGGTGTTATGAGAGTTACAGCGAAGATCACAAAGTCGTGGAAGACATGACTGATGTCATACTTGGTTTACAAGGAGAGCCTCCTTCCAACTATAATCACGGAGTTCCCTTCGTTGGTGGAAGGTAAAGGCTTTTCTGCTAATTTTAACGTGTGATTTATATGAGCCTTATTTTCATTCTTTTGAATTTTGATTAGGGATAAAGTTGCAGCGTGTGCCAAGCATTATGTGGGAGATGGTGGGACAACCAGAGGAGTAAATGAGAACAACACAGTCACTGATTTACACGGTCTTCTTAGCATTCACATGCCTGCTTATGCTGATGCAATTTACAAAGGCGTTTCCACAGTGATGGTTTCATATTCGAGCTATAATGGCGAGAAGATGCATGCCAATACTGAGCTCATTACAGGGTATCTCAAGGGTAACCTTAGGTTTAAGGTCTGCTTACTTTTTCCCTCGTCAGCCATGGCTTCAATTGGATAATGCTTTGTGCTAATTCCAACTTATCTTGTCTATAATATGTGTAGGGTTTTGTTATTTCTGATTGGCAAGGTGTTGATAAGATATCATCACCACCGCATTCGAACTACAAAGCTTCTGTCCAAGCTGCAATTCAGGCTGGCATTGACATGGTCATGGTTCCTTTTAACTTCAACGAGTTCATCAATGATCTTATGTCTTTGGTGAAGAGCAAAGTAATTCCTATCACCCGGATTGATGATGCTGTCAGCAGAATCCTACTTGTCAAGTTCACCATGGGTCTTTTTGAAAACCCTTTGGCTGATTACAGCTTCTCCAATGAACTAGGAAGCCAGGTCGGTTGCTGCTTTGAGTATTTTTCCCTGAGCTAGACTCTGTTGCAAGTATTTGAATGTTCTCAATTTCTATTAGGCACATAGAGACTTGGCAAGAGAAGCTGTTAGGAAGTCCCTTGTGCTGCTGAAAAACGGGAACAATACCAATCCTATGCTCCCACTTCCAAGGAAGGCTTCAAAGATCCTCGTAGCTGGTACTCATGCTGATAATTTAGGTTACCAATGTGGTGGTTGGACCATAACTTGGCAAGGATTAAGCGGCAACAAGAACACTAGAGGTAAACTTGTGTGCAGCTCTTATCATCTTGAGCAATAATGTAAAAAAAAAAAAAAAAAACTTAATTTGATGATTGTTTTCAGGAACTACAATTCTTGGTGCTATAAAAGCAGCTGTTGATCAAAGCACTGAAGTCATCTTCAACGAAAATCCAGATGCTGAGTTCATCAAGTCTAACAACTTTTCTTACGCAATCATTGCTGTTGGTGAACCTCCATATGCAGAGACAGCTGGAGATAGCGACAAGCTAACTATGATGGATCCTGGTCCAGCCATCGTTACCTCTACTTGTCAGGCTATCAAATGTGTGGTTGTAGTCGTTTCAGGCAGACCACTTGTGATGGAACCTTACGTTGCCTCCATCGAGGCCTTGGTTGCAGCGTGGCTACCGGGAACAGAAGGCCAAGGTATCACTGATGCTCTCTTTGGCGACCATGGCTTCAGTGGGAAACTTCCTATTACATGGTTCAGAAACACAGAGCAGTTGCCTATGAGCTATGGAGATTCACCTTATGACCCGCTCTTTGCTTACGGGTCTGGTCTTGTAACTGAGTCTGTTGCGAGCATTGTAGCTAGGTAAAAGTCCCTTCACTCATGTTGCATCATTCTCAGACACGAGATTAAGATCATTTTTTCTGGTTGTGGTTGCAAACAGGTCAACGTCAGCTTCTGCTGCTAACACAACGTCATGCTTAATCACAATCCTTTGTCTGTTTCTCTTCCGGAGGTATGTATCATTCACTAGTTCAACTTCCGTTTTTAATTTCTCCAGAGAAATTGGTGAGAATCTGATTTTTTTTTCCCAACTTTCTGTCTACAGCTTAAGCGGAATTTTTAGATGAAAGCTACAAAACTTTGGAGTAGAATGGTTCTTGTAGCCTTAGCTAAAGAGATCCTGAAACATGTCATCTTTATGTGGTGTTGTTGCAACCTGTAACATTCTCTTTGATTCTGTTTAAGCAAGAAAGTTCTGTTTATGTAATTGAATTCCTCTAAGACAATTCTCTGCTTTATATACATTCTTTATATTGAAACGTTGTGGGCGCTAATGTTACATCTTCTTAACTAATCTCATTGGGGAACACAAGGTATAAACTTGTAAAGTAAGCAATGTACTATGCTTTCTTTTGTAAGAGGATAAACATATGATGATGATGACCTGAGACTAAAGAAGAGATTTCTGATGAAGACATACCCTCAAAACTAGGTAATATCAATTGCATAGCGCAAGAGAGAAAAATGGCTAAGCATTGCAGAGATTGAGAGGTCTTATATATATACACAGAGCAATAAACCCTAATGGATATTCTCAAAGCTCTCAGACAAAACAATAAATTCAGAAAGTTAATTAATGGCAGCAAGACAGCAACCTAGAGGAACAGGCTTAGGTGTTCAGTATGAAGATTTTGTCCCCAAATCTGATTGGAAAGATCAACCTGAAGCCACTCTTCTCACCATTGATCTTCAAGGTTGGTACATATATTTGACTAGTTGTGGTGGTATGGTTCTGATGTGAACTGTTTTTTTGTTTTGTTTTGTATAAAGGTTTTACAAAGGAGCAAATAAAGGTAATGTATGTGCATGCCTCTAAGATGATAAGAGTCACGGGAGAACGTCCCCTGACTGGTAGGAGATGGAGCCGTTTCAACGAAGTGTTCACTGTTCCAGAGAATTGTCTTGTGGATAAGCTTCGTGGGAGTTTCAATAACAACGTCCTCACAATCACCATGCCTAAGGAGAAGGTTGAGAAGCTAGAGGAGAAGAGGTTGTTGGAGGAATCAAGAAGGAAAGAAAAGGAAGTAGAGGATGAGAAGAAGAAGAAGCTTTTGGAAGAGAAAGAGGCGATACTTAGGAAGCTACAAGAAGAAGCTAAAGCAAAAGAGATGGCTGAGGCAAAGAGGCTTCAAGAAGAAGCTAAAGAGAAAGAGAAGGCCGAGGCAAGAAAGCTGCTTCTTGCAGCTGCAGTAAAAGAGAAGGCTGAAAGAAGGAAGCTGCAAGAAGCAGCTGTAGCAAAAAAGAAGGCAGAGGAAAGAAGGCTTCAAGAAGAAGCTAAAGCAAAAGAAATGGCTGAGGTGAGGAGGCTTCAAGAAGAAGCAAAAGCAAAAGAAATGGCTGAGGCAAGGAAGCTTCAAGAAGCAGCTATAGCAAAAGAGAAGGCAGAAGCAAAGAGGCTTCAAGAAGAAGCTATAGCGAAAGAGAAGGCTGAGGCAAGGAGGCTTCAAGAAGAAGCAAAAGCAAAAGAGAGGGCAGAAGAAAAGAGGCTGCATGAAGAAGCTAAAGCAAAAGCAAAAGAGATGGCCGAGGCAAGGAAGCTCCAAGAAGAAGCTAAAGCAAAAGAGAAACTGTTGGAAGAAGCTGCACTAGAAAAGAAGATCCAAGATAAGAAGTTAGTAATGCCAGAAGAGGGGAAGCTTCCAGAAGTGGACTACACAAAATCCGGTCCCGGTTCTAGGACCAAACATGTGTCCGAAAGAACAAGCGAGGCCGTGAAATCAGCAGAAGAAAAACTAAGTTACTTGGTAGTGAAAGGAAAGAAAACAGGGAAAGGTATGATGGAGAAAATAAGGGGAAGAGAGATAACAAGTGAAGAGAAGAAGAAGATGATGGTGAATGTAGGAGTGTCTGCTCTTGTTATCTTTGCCCTTGGAGCTTATGTTTCTTATAGCTTTTGCTCATCTTCATCTTCTACCAAACCAGAATGATCATTGTCTTTAAAGAAGTTGTGTGAATGAGAGCTATTATATACTTTGTAAATGTGATATATATATATATTCTAAAATCCAATAAAGTTTTTATAAATTTATTATGTAAATAACTTTTTAAAAATTTGGTGGGAATATGTTCTTGTTGATAATGAAGTTTGGTGCTTTGTTCTTTCTACTGTTCTATAATTGAATGGAAAGAGTGATACTATCCAAAAATATACAATAACTGTGGTTTTTAATTTAAATATTCTTCCACATGATTTTTAAGAATTTTGATAGTAGTATGCTAATTGATAAGTGATTATGAAAAATAGTAATTTCTGCAATATAATTAAACTAGAATTCAATAATTTCATATGATTTACTTATATTATTTTTTGATTAGTCACAAAATTAATTTTCTAAATCATTCCTAAAGTTTTATACTAATAGTTGATTAATAAAGATATTTTTTTTTGTTTCTTAAAACAATTAAAAAAGGAACAAAAAAATTAATAAAGATATAATTCTTTTTCCTCCTTGAAACAAACAATAAGAAAACTCAATAAGCCTAAACAAATGAAAATTCATAAACCCTAAACCCTTACAAATTAGATCCCAAGTCACAGAGACCCGTTCGTTGTCTGACCAATTCTGTCTGAAAGAGAAAGAAACCCATTTGAGTTGGGAGCTGAGTGAAGCATAAAGTAACCTCCTTTACCTGAGAGAGCTATAGTGTATTACGGAGAAAGACGGCGAGGCTGAGAAACCATGCCTCATCGTCCATTACACTTTCCAAAATGCGTTTCACAAAACGAATAAGCCTCTTCCTGTGGCAAGCCACCAAGCTTCCTCCTACTCGCTCTCCACTGCGAAACCCATCTTTATGCAGGTCTTATATCGTTGGCGCTCCGAGAGTTCCTTCGTCGACGACGTCTCTGATTTCGAGTTTGTCCAATCCGATACGTCGTCGTTTCATCGGGTACACTGCGGAGCAGTTCTCTGATGATGAGTACGAGTGTGAGTTCGAGGAACATAAGGTTCGTGTTTTTTTGTTTATTTCAAGTTGGTGAATTGTTGGATTAATTAAATCAATCAGCCTTGAAAAATTTGAGCTTTTTAGATATTTGGTTCAGACAGTTATGATTTATGTTTGATGTTCTGTTTCTTTGTCGATGTTATAATATTTTGATCTTTATGTTTTCAAATGATAATGTTTCTCAAAAATTGGAACTTTAGGTTTTTTGTTAGGATCAATGACAAAGTTTGAGATGTTTAGACATTTGGTTCAGACAGTTAAAGATTTAAGTTTGGTGTTCTGTTTCTTTGTCGATGTTATAATATTTGGTCTTATTTTTGAGATGATAATGTTTCTCAAAAATTGGAACTCTAGGTTTTTGTTAGGATCAGTGACAAAGTTCGAGATGTTTAGACATTTCGTTCAGACAGTTAAAGATTTAAGTTTGATGTTCTGTTTCTTGTTGATGTTCAGTCTTCAGATGAGAAACCGTTTTATCAAAATGGGAACTTTAAGTGTTTGTTAGGAGGAATGAGTAACGCAAATTAGATATTTTGATTACTCTCTGTTTAATCTTTTTTTTTTTTACTCTTGTTTAATTATTGGAGATGATTTGATGCAATGGCATAAACTGGTTTTATAGGCTTCATCTTCTGTGGCCAATGTTGATGAGTGGAAGTGGAAATTAGGCATTCTGTTGGCCAATGATAGCGAACGAGAGATTGTTTCTAGAGACAAAAGAGATCGAAGGGATTATGAGCAGATCTCTAACCTTGCCAAGAGAATGGGGCTCTACAGGTAGACAAAGCAGGCGTTTATTGGGTCAATAGCTTATTTCTTTTCATGAAAAATGTGCTAATAATCCTTCTTTCTTTAAGCGAGATTTATGGAAAAGTGGTTGTTGCAAGCAAGGTTCCTCTTCCCAACTACAGGCCAGATTTGGATGATAAGCGACCACAAAGGGAGGTATAAAGTGTCTCCCTTTGTTTACCAAAAACCATAAAGCTCATTTTTTTTTGTAGTGTTATCTGCTGAAGTTGTAGTGCATGTCATTGTGTAGGTAGTACTTCCTTTGAGTTTGCAGAGAAGGGTAGAGGGACTACTCCAGGAACACCTTGATAGACAGCAGCTAAACTTAGGAAAGGCTAATGAAAGTGAAGCTGATTCTCAACCTCCTAAACAGACTGAAGAACTTCCTGATGAAAGCTCTGATGCATTTCTCGATGGTTCTGTTATGGAGAAGGTGCTTCAGAGGAGGAGTATGCGGATGCGCAATATGCAGAGAGCCTGGCAGGTATATGTTACTGATCATCTTTACCTTTGGCCCTTGTATCTCACTACGTTAAAATACGTTTGGCTAAAGCAGTAGCTGTTTGGTTGAATAATAGGAATCACCTGAGGGGCGTACAATGCTGGAGTTCCGAAAATCTTTGCCTTCATTCAAGGACAAAGAAAGACTTCTTCAAGCTATTGCTCGGAACCAGGTAATCTTTGCATTGCTACTGCAATGCATGTAAACTTGCTTTCGTTGTACGTCTCTTACTGTTTGCATGAATCATGACAGGTAATAGTGGTATCTGGGGAGACTGGATGTGGTAAGACAACTCAATTGCCTCAGTACATTTTGGAATCGGAGATAGAGTCTGGTCGAGGAGCATTCTGCAACATCATTTGTACACAACCTCGGAGGATATCTGCCATGGCAGTTTCAGAAAGAGTGTCAGCTGAGAGAGGAGAACCTCTTGGTGAAACGGTAAGCCAAGATACTTAGCTTTCATATGGACACCAAAATTGGTTACTCGAATCAATACTTGAAAGTCTTGTTTATTCTTGATTTCATACCCAACAAATAATTTTTGGTAGGTTGGGTTTAAAGTTCGGCTAGAAGGAATGAGAGGAAAGAATACCCAACTTCTGTTTTGTACGAGTGGTATTCTTCTCAGACGACTGCTTAGTGATCGCAATTTGAATGGCGTAACTCATGTTTTTGTTGATGAGATTCACGAAAGGGGAATGAATGAAGGTACATACTCTATATATCGAAAATATGTTTCAGTTTCTGTCAGTTGAGTCTCACAATTGCTTATGTGTCTCGCTTCTGTGATTGCAGATTTTTTGATAATAGTGTTAAAGGAGCTTCTTCCACGGCGTCCAGATTTGAGATTGGTTCTCATGAGTGCCACTTTGAATGCTGAACTCTTCTCTAACTATTTTGGAGGAGCACCTACAATTCACATTCCAGTTAACAATTTCTCCTCTTCTTCATCTTAGTCTTGACGCTCTGGATAGAGCCCGAGCTTACAGTTTTTTTTCCAGGGATTCACACATCCAGTGAAGGCACATTTTCTGGAGGATGTACTGGAAATGACGGGATATAAGTTGACCTCTTTCAATCAAGTTGATGATTATGGTCAAGAGAAGACTTGGAAAACTCAAAAGCAGTTAATGCCACGCAAAAGGAAAAACCAGATCACTTCTCTTGTTGAGGTACTTGGCTAATTTCTTGTACGTAAAATAGAAATTCTTTAGAATTAAGACCTCTAGCCTCATATGATAGGTCAAATTTTACCAACCTATGTTTCTGTTAATGAAGTATGTTTGATGAGCAGACCAAATCTTACAATAATATAAACCTCACATAGGCTGTGTTCATCAATAATTTTGATTAAAAATTGCAGGAAGCTCTCAGCAAGTCAACTTTTGAAAGCTATAGCTCTAGGACTCGTGATTCACTCTCGTCTTGGATGCCTGATTGCGTAGGATTTAATCTTATTGAGGCCGTTCTCTGTCACATATGCCGTAAAGAACGTCCAGGAGCTGTATTAGTATTTTTGACAGGATGGGATGATATTAGCTCCCTGAGGGACCAAATTAAAGCCCATCCTCTCCTCGGGGATCCCAATAGGGTCTTGCTATTGATGTGCCATGGTTCAATGGCAACTGCTGAACAGGTAAAGTTATCTCCTCATGCGTCAATTTGAGTCGTGATTCATGGATTTATAGTTTCCTAGCTTTGGCCAGGAACAACTGCTTTTGAGCCGTCTGATTCATGATCCTTATCTTTAAATATTTCTTTGATGTTTCTGTAGAGACTCATTTTCGAGCGAGCACCTCCTAATATTCGCAAAATTGTTCTTGCTACAAACATGGCAGAAGCTAGTATTACAATAAACGATGTAGTTTTCGTGGTTGACTGTGGAAAGGCAAAAGAGACCACCTATGATGCTTTGAACAATACACCTTGTTTGCTACCCTCATGGATATCTCAAGCTTCTGCTCGACAGGTGAATTCATTATGCTACATATAAATGAGCCAGATTATCTTTCTTCTGTGTTTACTTGTTCATACACTTGCATTCACAACATTTATTCTTTCAAATGACTTCACTGTATGATCACTATTCACTATCGTTGTAATTTTAGAAACATATATTTTTTCTTTCTGGTGCATTTATGTCATAGCTTTAAAGCTTTCACTCATTTAATATGCCCAACATTTCCCTCTGTTTGATCTTCAGCGAAGGGGTAGAGCTGGTCGTCTGCTTCCGGGAGAATGCTATCACCTGTACCCCAAATGCGTGTATGAAGCTTTTTCGGAGTATCAACTTCCTGAACTTCTGAGAACTCCTTTAAACTCTCTCTGCCTGCAAATTAAAAGTCTTCAGGTTGAAAGCATTGGAGAGTTCTTGTCAGCTGCACTTCAGGCTCCAGAACCTTTGACCGTAAGTGACAGATAAATGCCTTTCTGATCCCACCAGTTGTCTTGTTACTAGTGACAACTTTTATTAATTATCAGAATCTTTACACATAGAAGATATGATTCTAATTTTCGCGTGCTCTTATGAATCAAGATTAGTCCAAATAACTGTAAATTTCATCACAGGTTCAAAATGCTATTGGATTCCTGAAAATGATCGGAGCACTGGATGAGAAGGAAAATCTGACGGATCTTGGTTTGTGTTCTAAGTCCTGTACAAAACATGCTTCAACTTTTTCTGATCCATCTATCTATCATTACTGACTTTCCTTCTTGTTTTCTTTTTTATTTGTTCCAACTAGGAAAACTTTTGTCGATCCTCCCAGTTGATCCCAAGCTGGGGAAAATGCTCATAATGGGTGCCATCTTCCACTGCTTTGATCCGATCCTGACAATTGTATCAGGGCTTAGTGTCAGAGATCCTTTCCTTCTACCTCAAGAAAAAAAGGACGTAAGTACAAAGACTCATGGATGAAAGTTCTGTTTTGCTTATCATGAATGTACTGATTGGTTGATTAATTGGCAAATAATTGTTCTGGAGAAGTCTATGGTTAAAATCTCGTACACTGAGAGAATATCTGATGATTCCTTGTTTTATTTTAGTTAGCTTTATCAGCCAAGTTGAGATTCTCAGCAAAAGACTACAGTGACCATATGGCACTCGTTCGTGCCTTTGAAGGGTGGAAAAATGCTGAAAGAGAAGGATCAGCTTATGAGTACTGTTGGAGGAATTTCCTGTCAGCTCAGACGCTTCAGGCGATACATTCTCTGAGGAAGCAGTTCAACTATATCCTGAAAGAAGCTGGCTTAGTACACGATGATTCAGCTCTCAACAACAAACTAAGTCACAATCAGTCTCTGGTTCGCGCTGTCATTTGCTCTGGCTTATTCCCCGGAATAGCATCTGTTGTGGTAAGTCGTAAGAACCATGTCTCCTTGCTTCTGTCACAGGACTTAGTGAAATTATCCTTTTCTTTGTACAGCACAGAGAGACTTCCATGTCGTTCAAGACAATGGATGATGGCCAAGTATCACTATACGCGGTGAGTTTCTTCAATCGTATTCCCCAAGACCATTGTTTGAGACTCTTATTACGGACATCGTTCATTTAAATGGTTCTTTTACTCTTTCTATGTTTTAGAACTCTGTTAATTCGAGGTTTCCGACTATTCCATACCCTTGGTTAGTCTTTGGAGAGAAAGTAAAAGTCAATGCAGTGCTCATAAGAGACTCCACCGGTGTCCCTGATTCCAGTTTGATCCTTTTTGGTGGTGCACTGAGCACCGGAGTACAGGTGATTTTTCTCATATTCATCTCTTTTAAACCTTTACACGAGTCAGATTATTGAACTTTTGTGTTGTTTCCAGGTGGGACATCTTAAAATGCTTGACGGGTACATTGATTTCTTCATGGATCCAAATTTGGCAGACTCCTATGTAAAGCTGAAGGAAGAACTCGACAAGCTTCTTCAGAAAAAGGTGAGTTTATTTATGCAACTTCAAATGGCAGCAAGCGCGAACTGTATAGCTTGTAACACAATGAGTATTTTTTTTTACGATATGCAGCTTGAAGATCCAAGCGTGGACATTCACAAAGAAGGCAAGTACCTGATGCTTGCAGTTCAAGAGCTAGTCGCTGGAGACCAATGCGAAGGGAGATTCGTATTTGGCCGTGACACAAAGAGACCAAGCCAACCGCAATTAGAAGGAGAGAACAAAATCTGCAAAGACGGGACAAACCCGAAGAGTCTCCTGCAGACACTTCTGATGAGAGCTGGACACTCACCTCCAAAGTACAAGACCAAACATCTAAAGACAAACGAGTTTAGAGCACTTGTGGAGTTTAAAGGAATGCAATTCGTTGGGAAGCCTCAGAGGAACAAAACACTCGCTGAGAAAGATGCAGCTGTTGAGGCCTTGGCTTGGTTGACTCATACCTCTGATAATAGTACTGACCAGCACAGTGGAGACGCAGATTCTCCACCTGATGTTACTGATAACATGCTTAAACTCCTTGGAGGAAAACGGCGCAGGCGGTCCAAGGGAAAGTAGTTGAACTTGAAACCTCTCTGTGTCTTGTGTATGTGAGCTTTGAAAGATCTTTACAAACCAAAACAGATATAGATACAATATACAACTTTATTCATAATCAGTAAGAAAATTATAGCGTCATTTAGAGGGAAAAGAACACAAAAATACAAAATTGTTAAAGATTTGTTCTGAAATTTATTTTTAATCCAAAAAAGAAGGAAATAATGTTAACAAGGTTGGTGAAATTGTCAACCAATCAAGAACAGGCTAAGCTCATCAGGAAGAGAAAATGGAACAGAAGCAAAATCTCAAAAGAAAGAAAAAAAAAAACTCAAGAGAACATGGAAACAAAACAAAACAAAAACAAGAGAAGTCTCTTCTGAAAGTAGTTTCTAGATGGTTGCATGCGTGGGGACATCAACTGGGAACTCATGAATTTCATCCATCCATGGGTTCTTTTCCTTTTTAGGATTTACAGACCTCACCGCTCTCCAAACCGAGCTGTTGCACTTGAACCCTGAACCAAAAGCAATCTGCCAGATTCTATCACCTTTCTTGATCCTTCCTTTGGCCTCACTATACGCTAACTCATACCACAAAGAGCTACTTGATGTGTTACCAAAACGGTAGAGTGTCATCCTCGAGGGTTCCATGTGCCAATCAGAGAGCTTCAAGTTCTTCTCCAACTCATCAAGAACAGCTCTTCCTCCCGCGTGGATGCAGAAATGCTCAAATGCTAGTTTGAAGTCTGGGATGTACGGCTTGATCTTCATCTTAAAGAGTTTCCTTCCCACTAATGTTGCAAAGAACAGAAGCTGTTCAGATGTTGGCAGAACCAGTGGTCCTAACGTTGTGATGTTTGTCTTCAAAGCATCACCAGCAACAGCCATTAGATCTTTAGACAGGGTCACACCAACCTTACTTGTGGAATCCTCTTCTTGAGTAATACAGCCAAAGCATTTATCATCAGCTCCCTTGTGTGTCCTGACCGTATCAACAAGCTCGTACTTCGATCTCCTCCTGTCCCATCGTTTGTTCGAGAGAAGTATCGCTGCACCACCCATTCTAAACAGACAGTTAGAGACAAGCTTTGACCTATCATTCCCAAAATACCAGTTCAACGTGATATTCTCCATGCTGATCACCATAGCATAAGTATTGGGAATGGAGTGGAGAAGATGCTTAGCAAGATCTATCGAAATCAAACCTGCGCTGCAACCCATTCCTCCCAAGTTGTAACTGAGTATGTTCCCACGGAGCTTATAATGATTAACAATCATCGCAGACAAAGAAGGTGTAGGGTTAAACAAGCTGCAGTTAACAATCAATATCCCAATATCCTTAGGGTTCACATTAGTCTTAGCAAGAAGCTCATCAATAGCTCCAAACATCACAGCCTCAGCTTCCTTTCTAGCTTCCGCCATACACGGATTCGGAGGAACATTTAGCACAGCCTGAGGCAAGTAAGTAGATTCCCCAAGCCCCGAACGTTGAAGAATCTTCTTCTGGAACTCAAGATTCTCCTCAGTAAAGGAGCCAGTGAGTTTCGACCTCTCCATAAAGATCTTCTTAGTACATTTACGAGCATCATCAGGTTTGTAGCAAGAAAAGTCAACCAAGTAGACAGGACGCGGCCTTGTCATGACGTAAATAGTCATTATAAAAACAAGGAGAGCTGAACAAACAACCACAGAGATGAGATTGTACTGAAGATGCTCCCAGAGGCTGGCGAGATCCTTGCGTGAGAAGGTGGAGACTTGAGCAGCGATGACGAGGACGAGAGGGGAGAGGAGAAGGTACATGCCATGTGTGATGAGGTAATGGTAACCTAGCTTGACGTACTTGAGCTTCACGGATTTTTTGAAATCAGGAAGATTCCGATCAGATGATGGTGATGGTGATGAGTCTCCCATCAATGGTCTCTTCTCCTCCACAGACATCTCTTCTTCCCCTGTTTTTACACAGTTTTGAAAAACGTAACAGAGATCTATTAAAGGTTCCAACTTTCATTACCAAAATCGTAAAGCTTCATACTTTACAATCGATTAAGTAAAAATAAGATCGGAATCATAATGCATTAACAAGACGTGACTTGGTAAACGACAAATTAGATTATTTTGATAAGCGTAAGAAATAAGAAACAGAGACTAACCTGAAGATTCAGAACTCTTTCTCGCCGCTCACGGAGAATACGAGGAGGAGAAGGAGAGAGAGAGGTTGATAAAAATTATTACAGGAATCTTTCAAAGGCACTACTTTTTGAAAACGCGTACCAGATTGGTCGGAGCTTCAATCCAATCATTTGAAAGTCAAACCGAAGAACCGGTTAACCCAATTTTAAATAAACCGGACTCTGTTATTAAACCGATCAAAATTAACGGTTTTTAGTGAGAACGGTTTGGGTTCTCTGTTTCTTTCTGTCGTGTTTGAGAAGTTGAGAGGAGAGAAAGAAAGATCGGAGGAGGGATGAGTGCTGAAGATTTTCAGAAGAAGGTTTCAATCAGTGACTCCTCCGACGCCGGAGTGATGGAAATCGAATGCGGCGGCTCTGCTAGCTCCACGGTGGTACCCTCTCAAACTCTGGTTTTGCTTCGGAGACTGCTTGAGATTCAGGAGCGTCGAGCACAGGCTTACGCAAAACTGAAAAGGTTCGATCTTTTTGTTGGAAAATTCTTTGAGAGATGTTAAGAGTTAAGTAACTGATAGTGTTGAGGAAGAGATGTCTCATAAAGTTTAGATTTTTATGTTTGCATATTCGTGGATTTTTACATGTTTTGTTACTTTCATATGGATCTTTCCTCTGTTAATCTTTGGCTCTGTTTTTCGAATTTGATTTTATCAGAGGATTCTCAGAGTATGTGGAGACTAGTGGTGAAGCACTTTATCAGAAGCTGTGCAGTGAGATTACTGCTGAGTTTAACGAATGTTCCAAACAAGTATCTGAGTTCTTTTTTCTTCTTTTTATCTTTTGATTGGGTACTTTAATAATGTTGTTGAAACATAAGGTGTTAAAGATTGGGCCTTTGTTTGATGACAATGTATGCAGGTACGTGAAATGGAAACTCTGTTTCTGAATCCAGAAGTTAAAAGAGCGGATCTTGCTCAACTGCTCAGTGACATTCAAACTCAAGAGAAGCAGAAATTGCATCTGGTCTCAATCCTATTTACTCAAGGGTTGTGAACTTGTTGGACAGAACAAAAGTTTCTTACTTTAGTTAGTTTTTTTTTTTTTTGCAGACGGTTACAATACAGGTACTGAAGAAGGCAGGGAGGCCGTCAGAAAGAATGCTGACACATGAGAACTGCAAGTTCAAGAAACCGATGCAGCACGAGTGTGTGCATCTTCATGAGATTACAGAAGCAGAAGGGACAGAGGAAGCAGAAGCGGATGCAGAGTTTGACAATGCTTTGAAGGAAGCAATTAGAGGAGTGCAAGACGCTGTGACTAGCATCAATGAGTATTTGGAAGATATTAGGTACGAGATTGCAGCTCTTGAAGCTGATTAGTTCTCAATCTCATCATCACTTCTTTTCCCTTTCTACTGTTAATTTTCTATTTTAAAGCTGTGGCTTGTTACTTTGAGGTATAAAGATATTTAGAAATTATGAAGGATGTGCAAATGGGATTTGTTGTTCTCAAAGTTATCTATTTTGATTATCGATTTGTTGCAAAATCAAATCGTTAATAAATTCACACACTTGACCATTGAACAAAAAGAAATTACACCCAAATGTGCCAACAAAACATATGTTATTGGCATTTTTGGTCCAAATGCGAAAGATGTATCGTGTTTTTAGTTTGTTTGTATGTGTACGTATCAAATAATGTCATACGGACACCAAACTAGTCGCTTTGATCCATTCAGCGTACTCCCCAAAGTCCTTGACTCTGCCAAAATGATATGAACATAGGCACAAAGCTTAATCAGTTTCTCAAAGAGCAACACAATGGGAAACACATAATGGCTTAATGGACGCTATTTGACTTACAAATGGAGATTGGTCAGATCGAACTCGGGAAACAGGTTAAAGTAAAATCGAAGCCCGTCTGGACTCATGTCTCTACACAGCAGACCTGATCAACACAAATAGGAGGGTAAGGAAACACATAAATCTGATAGACAACATATGTATACGAGCTGGCTTCTGTTACCTTTGGTCTCTGCAGATAGTAGATGTTCCTTGGCCATGGCTGGAGCGATTTTCAGTGTCAAAGCTGCATCACTAGCAGTGACTCCGGTTCTTAGAGTTTCGGTTTTAGTCACAAGCATTCTGATTCGACTCATAACCTATATGGCCAGAAAAAGTATTTTATCATCAGGACAGGAAAAAAGAAGAAGTCAAAAGCACAGCGAGAAGGAATGAAAGATCCGTAGCTAGAAAATAAAGAGCATGATCCAAAGCAGTAAAGTTAAGGATATGAGACTTGAGAGTACCTCCTCGTCACTATGGGACTTGTTTTGGATGACTTTCACACCGCTATCAAACTTCCTTAGCATTACTGGACTACCAATCATAATACATGACAGAGTCAATATTTCTACATATTAGCTTCTTTAAATGGTCAAGTGTAGACATTAGAGTTTGCAAAAAGAATCTACGAGTGAAGAGTCAGAAAATACATACACATCAAATTTCTCCCAGAGGGTACAAGCTTGCCACAAGTCGTCAGGAGAAATCAACTCTGATGCAAAGAAAGGTTTCAGAATTACAGGCTGTAGTATAAAAACCGACTAAAGAACATACAATGAAACATTATAGATTACAAAAGGTCAAACCTGTTCCACGAGCACGATTGAAGTGGTAATACATATCAGTAAGGCTGATCATCCCTCCAGCTTGTTCTAACGGAATTTTGACAAAATCTGCCAACTGCAGGTATGAAAACAAAGATTTCAACCAACAAATTCATGTACTTCGAAGGCCTTCAAGAGAAAGAATTCCCCACATTCCAACAAAATTTGTAGGTGCACAATTACAAGCTAAACAGTTAAAGGTTCTCTAGTAACTCTACTAGGAAAGTGGTAGTTGTTACTATTAGTAACATAGAACATAAAGCTAATGATAAAGGTTCTCTAGTATCTCTACTAGGAAAATGGCAGGCTATTAGTAACATCGAACAAAAATAATGCCTTTCATTTCAATATCTTATCAGCTGCTCAAGTGAATGGAAAACAACTCTAGAAGTTATCACAAAGAATATAAGACTAATGATAATGACACTATCTCTGTTCCAAAACGAGAAGAAGAGAACCTGGCGAGACAACTCTTGATGATACAAGGCGCCAGCAGACTCCTTAGTAACAGGAGAAATAATACCAACGCTCAACATCCACTGTTGCATTTCTTCTTTAGACCCCATCTCCTCATCATCACCTGATCCGTTCTGACTACTTGGAGCAGACAATAGCTTCTGCCTCATTTTTTCCGCCAAACTCACCATCTCTTTAGCCTTACTCTATAAAACCCAACAAGAGTTCTAGAATATTAAACAAATAATCAATCAAATAATCCACAAAGTTTAAACCTTTGTATCAGAAAAATCTTATCACAATACCATAAGAGCATTCAAATCCTGAAAAGCATCCTGCAAACTCTTATCTGTACTCTCCCACTGCTCCTGCTCTTTCCTCAATATCCCAGCTAACCCCACCATCCTCACCGTTCCATCGTTACCATACAAACCCTGCGCAACAGCTCCACCTCCTGACATAGACGTCTCACTCTCACTCTTATCCTCTCCCTCCCAAGCCCTACCTCTCCAACACTCCCAAAACTTCGTCAAAAACCCATCAAAATCACCCTTTCCCCTGAACACAACAGTCACAACAACCGAACCAGGATCCGCCTGGAACCGGATCCGAGGAGAATGGAACATGGACTTAATCGATTTCTTGTGTGAGAAGATTTGAGTAATTGCGGAGAGAGGGAGGGAAGAAGGGAGAGACGACGCGTTTGTTGACTGAGAAGGGATCCATATGAGACGATGAGTGGTTAAGATTAGGTTTCCGGATCTCAACGCGGTGAATCGCGGCGGATCGTCTTCGGAGTCTAGGTCGACGGAGGAGAGGAGGAAACACTCGACTTCGTTGCGGCGGAGCACTGGTCTTCCGCTCGTGGTTACCTCCGCGTTGGTGAAGAATCCATTTTCACTGGCCATGGAGGAGACCTAATTCGTTACAGGTTGACTAATGATCATAAAAGGTTTTCCGGCAACGGAAGAGAAGAACCGAACCACACACGATTGTTTTTTTTTATGTTTTTATGACAGAACACGCGCAGAGTCAGCTTTTTTTTGTAAAATTACATATCAGTCCTTATTAGTAAAATATTTTAACTTTCTTTGCAACTTTACATATTGGATCCCAACTTGTTTGAAGAAGAGAACATGAGATCGCCAACACCATTGGCCAACACCATTGGAACAGTAACAGAAGGAAGCAAAGGAAGTACATGAATATAAATAATAATGAAATGGTTACATAACGTCTTTATGAGAGTACTCTACAACTCCAAATTCAAACCCACCAACAAAATCTTCCTTATTACGTCCTAATCTTTACCAAAAACACCACTTCTATAAACCTTAAAACTCGATTAAAAAGCACAACAGAACAAGACACTTTAACAGCTCTTTTGTAGTTATGCTTCGATCTCCTGTGATGGAACCTCTCCACCATCTTTGTTCTGCTTAAGCCTCTGACCGTTGACATCAACCCATGAGGAGTGCTCTAGCATGGCCTTCTCTGTAGCTTGTCTGGTTGTGTAGGTGAGAAAAGCGCAGCTCACACCTCTCAAGCCAAAGTAGTGAATCGCCTCGATCTCTCCATAGGGGTTGAAACGACTGCGTAGATTCTCCTCGTGGACAGTGGAGTTGAGGAGACGGATGTAGAGAGTTCTGATCGTTTGATCCTTTGGTGGAGCCAAGGGGCCATGTTAGCCGCTTTAAATAGCAACTCAACGGTTCTGGGATCTGGATTAGGATCAGACAACCTGCGAAAACAAAACAAGGAATAAAAATCATGTTAAAACATAGAAGAAACATCACCATGAGCTTTTGAGAAAGAGCATCTTACAAAGTAGAACGATGAGTTTTACTAGAAATCTTATGTGCACCAGTTCTGCACGTGCGACTTGATTTGAAGAAACCACAAACCAATTGGTTTGGTGGGTTCCTACTGAACCGACCAATTTGGCTCTGCCGATAAACACCAAGTTTGGTTGCTAGATCTGACATCCTATGCAAAAATGAAATGAATATATAGGAATGGAAAGATTCTAGTAAAATTTGGCCACAAAAGAATGCTTTTTATGAAACAAGAAGCAATAAAAATGGGAACTTTGAGATTCAAAATCACGGCGATAGACTCTCACAGGCTAATATTTTATACAGTGGGAAAAGACTATTGGATCTAAGAGAAAGATCGAAGAACCTTAGCTAGTACACACACACATACCTACTTCACACCCAGAATTTCAGATGCATCAAAAAACAGCGACTCAAAACGAGATACTTGAAAATATATTCTCAAACCCAGAATAAAAAAAATAAAGAACAACAATATACCAAACGGTTCAATACACACATCGCAGTAGAGAAAAAAACATTAGGGACTGAATCACCCACACATATTCTATAGAGGTAAGACATAGAGATTTTGAGAGAGTGCATCACAAAAGAAACAAGCTTAGCAATAAAAACGGCAACTTTGAGCTCTATTCATAAAAATAAATTAGGGTTTTCAAGATTCTAAGAGAACGATAGAAGAAGCTTAGCTTAGCTAGTAAACATTCACTATGCAACGTTACATACCCCGCAAGAATCTCATCTATATAATCCTCAGCAAAACACATATGCAACGGATCCAGCGACTCAAAACGAGATCCAGAAGTTCCAGAAAAAAAATAGGAAAGAGTAAAGTTTTACCTGAGATGAAAGGAAGGAAAGGAAGGAGTTGCTTTCAATCTCTGGTTGCCTGAGAGGAAAGGAATGAAAGGAAGGAAAGAAAAGAAAGGAAAGTTTTACCTGAGAGGAAAGGAAGGAAAGAAATGAAAGGAAGGAAAGGAAGGAAAGAAAGAAAGGAAGGAAAGGAAAAGAAAGGAAAGGAAAGGAAAGGAAGGGAAAGAAAAGGAAAGGAAGGAAAGGAAAGGAATGAAAGGAATGAAGGAAACGAAAGGAAGGAGTTGTTTTCAAAGAGTAAAGTTTTACCTGAGAGGAAAGAAAGGAGTTGCTTACAATCTATGGTCGCCTCTTCTTTGTCTGATTCTTGCTTGTTTCGACCAAAACGCGATGTTCTTCTGGTTTGTCCGACAAGACAGACATATATATAGAGAGAGTTGGTTTTTCCATTGGGCCTTAAACTGTTGTATAGCACGAGGCCCATATGATAAAGCCCAATAGTAGATCATAACTCCGGATTATTTGAAATACAAATTAGTCAAATAATAATAATTTTGATGTTTCTTGAGCAAGCATGATAGATGACTTTCCTAAAATGTCAAGTGAA